TGTAGGTGTTCAGAATGGTTTGATCCCTATCCAGCTGAATTCCTGAGAGGAGACGAAATCCAGGTCTCCTACTCCTCCGCCATCTTGCTCCGCCCCCTCTGAGGAACTTTTTGCAAAGCACTTGGGAACATTGTTTTCACAGAACTTAGTCTATCCTCATTTCCTCAGACTTGCTAATTCTAGTTCAAACATTATCACTTGATATTAATAGTTTTACCATTTTGGTTCCAGTCCTTTTCATGTAAGTTACATTGATAAAGATCAGAAATTTGACTCTACAGTTGTTCTAGGTACTTCCTATTTTAAATTCACTGGAATGAAAAATGAGTACATTAGGAAAATTGTACATAACCATGTACATTATTTTATTTCTGGCTTATGTGAGTATATGGGAATCTGAAAACTCATAGGTATTTCAAAAATAGGATGCATTTATTCAGTATATTTTTCACCTATCTACCTGATGCTGTTATTAGGCTTTGGAATAAAGAGATGGGAAAAAAGGTAGTTCTTGCCTACATTGGAGGTTGTCATTTATTAAAGGAGACAGGTAAATAAGCAGTTATAATCCAGTATCAGAAGTAGTCTGAGGGAGGTGTGCACAGGGAGTTTGAGAACCCAGGGCAGGGAGGTACTTCCCATTTCTCCAACATGGGGAGTGTGTGTGCAGGTGTCCAGGTTTGCCTCCCAGGAAAGGTGACACCTGAGTCAAATCTGGAGAAAGCTAGAACCTGGAGCATGAAGCCTTTTTTTCCAAACTAAGGAGATGGAGTTCATTTTAAGATGATGAGGAGCCAGTGGATACTTTTATTTAGAGCAACATGAATAGACTGGGAACTCAGTATAATTACCTTGAAGCATACTTCCAAGCAGTGGCTTCAACATCAATTTTATCATCATCTACATTGCAACCGTTTACTTAACTCATGTATACATTATCTCATTTAATCCAGCAGATATTCTTGCCATTATTTTATAGATAGGAAGACAAAGTACTAGAGGCCAATAGAGGAGTTACTGACTGGACACACGAGGGAGAATATGTTTTTTTATCTGCCATTCTACATGGTGATTTTAAGCTACTCGAAGTTAAGATGAGAGGTGTAGAGTTGTTGATCCTTAGTCTCCATTTTCATGTGTTTTATATTATGAGCATTTCACTGAATTTAGTTTGATTCTAGAGTTTAAAGATAACGTGTGTTCCCTGGGAGATGGCTTTTAACCCAAGTCCATTACTTCATCTGGTACTTAAGGAAATTTTGGTTTGTTCTAAAACTAGAGAAAAAAAAAAAAGGTTGTGTTAGACTTGCTCCTTTCTAGAGCTTTTCTATCTTACAGGATTTTTGTCCCTATCCTGTAGAACTCTTATAGAATAGAAATTAGTTAATTCTCCAGCCCATCTCCTTTTCCTCTCAGTAAAATTATCTTAGTATTTGAAATGATATCTCATTAGTATTAAACTTGGGACCTGGCTCCTCACTATGAAGGATAGTTTGAAACTAGGTTTTGTCTTTCTGTTCCATAATGTTTATACAGCATATTCAAGCAATAGAATGAGAGGTGATAATGCTTCAGAGTTTAAAAAAAAAAAAAAAAACTGATTATTAATCCAGCCACACTTTTCATTAGCTTTCTAACTGCTGTCAAAATTGACCATTTACCCCTTCGTTCCTAGTTCTTTAGTTGAAAATACAAATAAAGTATTTCTTCTCTCCTAGAAATGTGGTATGATTTATTTTTATTTGTGTATAACTAGAAAGGGGTAATACAAAGATAGTGTATACACAATTTTGACTTGCTATACTCACCTTTTACTTCTTTTATTTCAGCTCAATCTGAAATTGAAGTTTCTGTGTCTGCAAGGAATATCAGAAGGTTACTAAGTTTCCAGCGGTATCTTAGATCTTCACGCTTTTTTCGTGGTACTACTGTTTCAAATTCTCTAAACATTTTAGATGATGATTATAATGGACAAGCCAAGGTGTGTATTGCTTTTTCAAGAAAGCATTAATCTTTGATAAGTTTAATGAAGCCTTTTTCCCCCATGTGGTATTGAATTATTAGAAACTTTCTTAGTGGGGCGCCTGGGTGGCTCAGTAGTTAAGTGTCTGCCTTCAGCTCAGGTCATGATCCCAGGGTCCTGGGATCGAGCCCTGCATCGAGCCCTGCATGGGGCTCCCTGCTCCGCGGGAAGCCTGCTTCTCCCTCTCCCACTCCCCCTGCTTGTGTTCCCTCTCTCGCTATGTCTCTCTCTGTCAAATAAATAAATAAAATCTTTAAAAAAAAAAAAAAAAACCTTTCTTTGTATGCAAAAATCAGTTAAGCCCATTCTTCAGGTTTTTCCTTTAGAGCACATGTTCATTTTATAAGTAGGGAAATTTCTGAAGTTAACTAAAATAGTGAAAATGTTTTCATTTATTATAACATTAAGTAACAAGTAGATCAGTAGAACATTAAACTATAAGATCACACAGACTCTTAACTCTGGGAAGAATATTATAGCTGTTCTGGTCTAATTTCTATGTTCTGTAGGTAAGGAATCAATGGCCTGAAGAGCATCAGAGACTTGTTTGAGGTCACCTCCTGGGTAGAGGTACACCCAGCACAGGACGTTAGGCCTCATGACTTTCAGTCAAATGATTTTTCATAGTCCCTTCCATCACTGAGTTATTTTGAGGATTTATACGTTTTCTTTTCTTTTTTCTTTTTTTTTATCTTATTCCTATTTTATTTTATTTTTTTATGAAGAAAACTATTTTTTTCTTATGTTCAATTATCCAGCATATAGTACATCATTAGTTTTTGATGTAGTGTTCAACAATTCATTAGTTGCATGTAACACCCAGTGCTCATCTCCACACGTGCCCTCCTTAATACCTATCGCCCGGTTACCCCATCCCCTACCCCTCCTCCCTTGTAACCCTCAGTTTGGTTCCCAGAGTCCAGAGTCTCTCATGATTTGTTTCCCTCTCTGATTTCTTCCCATTCAGTTTTCCCTCCCTTCCCCTGTGGTCTTCCGTGCTATTCCTTACGTTTTCTAATTAAACCCAGTGATTGTGAGCATTATTTTCTATTTATATAGTTTAAAAGAAATGTCTTAATGAAGGTAGAGCTCAGATGAGCTTGTTTTTGACCAAATGAGTGTTTTAAATAATCTTATGTTTCTAGTATTTTTAAAATTATTTTTTGACTTAATATTTACAGGCCAGATTTTGTAAGTGTGTGTACATAGGGCGAAGCACCTTCTTTACGATTACATTAAAGTGAAAAAAAACTGCTTCCCGGTTTGATGAAAGAACACCTTAATAGAAGGTGTTCATGCTTTCTTTAAATTTTAAAAAGTTTACATGTTATGCTTTTAAAAATGAGAATATTGATCTGTGTATGATTAGTTGTGAGTACTATCATAAGTAATAGTATTATTTATGTCAATTTATTGATAAATGTGTACAACAGTGAACTATCCACAAAAGTTTCAGGTTACAAATATATGGTTTAAAAATACAATCAGTTTCATTTTGGGGTTGTGGGATTTATTTGCTCAACTGAAATACACATCAACTTAAAAATAAATGTAATAAATGCTGTTACTTATTATATAAAGAATATAAATAAATGGCTGCAAGTTGGGAGTGTTTTTTAAGAAAATGAATAACAAATAATTTAAGCATAGTGTAGTATGGCTGTCAAGTGCCTCGTTTCCAGAGTCAGACCACCTGATTTTAGATCCCAGCTCTGTTACTTTTTAGCTGCTCAAGTTAGTTACGTTTAGCCTGTTTCCCCATCTGTAAATGAGGATTGAAAACAATGCCTACTTCATAGTGTTGATATGAATAGTAAGAGTGAACTAGCACTTTTAACAGTAGGGAATATAGTAAGTACTCAGCTATTATAACTTATTTTTACGAGACTTTTAAAATCTAGTTTCTAGACCATGCAGTGTATGAACCACACTTCCATGGTATTAAATTATATTAGAATTCTTGAAAAGTTCATGGGAGTATAGCAGTGAATTGAAAGAAACATTAATCTTACCTGTACATTCATTAATTGGAAAGCAAAATAATACTTGGTTTTCCAAATGGAGCTTACGTTTTGGATACTTTTTTTGGAGTCGGCTGGAAAGGTCACGATTAAAAAGAATGTACTTAGCATTTCTTAGATCACTTTTCATTTTTACTCACTTCTCTATGGGCTATCTACAAAAGACAGACTGTTACTGAAATGAAATTACAGTAAGAATGTTTGGTTTTCATTTCAGTGTATGCTGGAAAAAGTTGGAAGTTGGAATTTTGATATCTTTCTATTTGATAGACTAACAAATGGTAAGTGAAGAATTTGACTTACTCACGTTAATGTGTACTCTAGATTCTGCATTGATGGTACAGCCCCTGGTGGGTTGTTGCTTTCATTCCTTTAGGTTGTGAGCCCTCTGCTGGCAGAACACCATTTTGTCCCTTCTTTGGTGACTGATCTAGAAGCCCAGAGAATCACTCTCATCATTTTATTTTTTCATTACTCTTAGCAGTGATCAAAAGTTATAATCCTCACCCTAGCTAATGCTGCTATTATGAATAACCCAAAGTGAAATTGTTACCTAGTTCTTTATTTTTCTGTTTTGGTTTCTTTTGGATTGTGGCTATTTACAGTGCCATCTTCTGATACTGTATTCCAGTTTTGATAGCCACGGATATGTGGTAGATTAATGACATTTTGAGAGATATCCTTTCTTCCAACCTTGTGGTTCTCAGGCTTTTCTTTCTCTGAACACTTGAGAGAGAGGACATATTCTAATCAGTGGTTCCTTCTGACACTGCTTCTCCATGGTTGGATGGGGATGAGCTTGTAGCTTCTTTAGGAGTCTTATCAGAATCTATAGAATATGAGTGGTTTGAAAACACCAGGTGATTCTAATCTGTTTACCCCCTCCTGTGTTTTGTTTTGTTTTGTTTTAGGGGTAGGGGTCATGTTTCCTTATTCTCTTTGGGAACAGGAAAAGGATTCCCTCTGGGAATCATTTTTATTTAGGATAAAATTTTTGGCATAAAAATGGTACATGTAGTTCAACTAGACTTTGTCCTTGTCTAAATATCTCTTTAATAAGTGAAGCAGAGTGGGCAGTACGTGGAGAGGAAGTCACTTCGGAGTGTTTAGAATGAAGTAATGAGGAAGTCACTTTGGAGTGTTTAGAATGAAGTAACAGCTAGGTAGTTCACTGCTGTATACTTTGAAATCACCATTCTTTTTCTTATTTTACTTTGGAATGAAGCTCATTTCATAAGGAAGCCAAATACAGAAAATGGACAAGCAGATACAACTTTATTCATCTTGAGAATCAATGAGGAACTAGCTTTTTGGAATTACTGTATGATTTCCCATAATCTGTGTGGCCCATGTAAGGTGAAAATAGCTTTGTAATCACCTTCCATTTGTCTGTGTGCCGTTGACAGAAAATAAATTCGACTGATTCTAGGCAAAATTGTAAAGACAATGAACTCTGCCTTATCAGCTTACCTCTCTCCTGCTACCCTGCCCTTTTGTTTTTGTTTTTTTCCTTTTCTGTTTCTCTTCCACCTCTCCTTTGCCCTTTGGTGACTGTTCTGTTCCTCTCCCTGCCCCCACTTTGGCATGTCCACACAGAAAATTTTCTAGTATCATTTACACAGTTGTCCTTCCCTTTTTAAAAAAAATGTGAAGTATCAGTTGACTCATCTAAGATCTGGGAAATTTCTTTTTTTCTAACTTAATGTGAATATTACTTCAGTTGTTACGTCAAAATAAATGTAAATAGAACAGTGCCACCCTTAGCACCTTCAAAGTTTAGCCTTTTGTAAACTGTGATAGCTCATAGCCTATAATTAGTCTATTGGGACACTTGTCACTCATCGAAATAAGTGATTGTTCTCTAAACTTTATTTCTAAAAAGTACGTATCCTGCTAGTCCGGGATCTTGGTGATGAAAGTAGAGTGAGGTTGACAGTGTGTGGAATGGGCAGAATAGCTATTAGCTACATTAGTTAATTTAACACTTTGCTTTCACTTTAATCATCTCATTACTTTTTGTGGAGTTGGCCAGATGGTTTCTTCTTAAGGTTGATTGTTAGGAGTTAGCTACCCACCTATGATTTTTACAGATGGTGATACACATATTCAGTTAAATACAGCCACCAAAAAGTTACAGGAATTCTGTCCATGAAGAGATATTATTGAGAAGCAAATGGGCAGAAGAGAAAATTTTTTTAATTTTCAAAATTTAATTAGAAGTGCTTTCCTTTTTTAAACTGCTTAGCTTGAAATGAATTCTGGGTGATATATGTATATGGTATCCAAGTATATAGTTTTCCTGTCTTGTTTATTGACCCAGTGCTTTCTGTTATTTCTTACTCTGGGCAATTCACCGGAGGACATTGTGGAAAGAGGCAAAACTCAGTGATTCCCACCAAGACAAATGGCCCCCAGCTTGCCCACTGCAAGGAAGAAAGTACTTGCCATCTGCTAGAGTACGTTCCTTTTATAGGAATGAGAGATTATGTGTGAAATAGCAAGATATGGTTTGTCACCCCTGAAATCTGTCTGGCATGTGAGGGACCCTTGTTGCCATCCTGTGTTATGGCCTTAATCTAGATGCCTTTATTTCTTTTTCTTGTCTGATTGTTGTGGTCCATGCTTCCAGTACAGTGTTGAATAAAAGTGTCAAGAGTGGGCATCCTTGTTTTGTTCCTGATCTTAGAGGGAAAGCTTTCAGCTTTTCACCATTGAGTCTGATGTTACTTGTGGGTTTGTTGTATTTGGCCTTTTTTTATTGAGGTTTGTTCCTTCTATACTTGATTTGTTGAGAGTTTTTATCATAAGTGGATGTTGAATTTTGTCTAATGGTTTCCCTGCATCTATTGAGGTGATAATATGATTTTTTTCCTTTATTTTGTTAATGGGATGTATCATGTTGATTCATTTACAGATGTTGAACCATCCTTACATTCTGGAATAAAACCCACTTGATCGTAGTGTATGATCCTTTTAATATATTGTTGAGTTTGGTTTGGTAATATTTGGTTGAGTATTTTGCATAAATGTTCATCAAGAATATTAGACTGTAGTTTTCTTTTTTTGTAGTGTCTGTCTGGTTTTGGTGTCAGGGTGATGCTGGCCTTGTAGAATGAATACAGAAACATTCCTTTCTCTTTAATTTTTTGAAATAGTTTGAGAAGGATAGGTACTTCATCTTCTCTAAGTGTTTGGTAGAATTCACCTGTGAAACCATCTGGTCCTGGACTCGTTAGTTGGGGGTTTTTTGATTACTGATTCATTTCATTGTCAATAATTGGACTGTTCAGATTTTCTGTTTCTTTGTGATTCAGTCTTAGAAGATTACGTGTGTCTAGGAATTTATCCATTTCTTCTAGTTTGTCCAGTTTGTTGGCATATGCTTGTTTTATTAGTCTTGTAAAATCTGTATTGCTGTGGTGTCTGTTGATCTTCTCCTCTTTCATTTTTGATAGTATTTACTTGAGTCCTTTCTCTTTTTTTTTCCTTGATGAGCCTGGCTAAAGGTTTATCAACTTTATTTATCATTTCAAAGAATCAGCTCTCAGGTTTATGAATGTTTTCTATTACTTTTTAAGTCCCATTTCATTTATTTCCACTCTGATCTTTATTATATCCTTCCTTGTACTTTTTTTGGGCTTTGTTTTTGGGGCTTTGTTTTTTCCTCTTTTTCTCATTCCTTTAGTGTAAGCTTAGATTGGTTCTTTGATATTTTGTCTTAGTGCTTTTGGTAGGCTTTATCACTCTAAACTTCCCTTTCAGTACTGCTTTTGCTGTGTCTCTTATATTTTGGAACATTGTATTTTCATTTTCATTTGATTCAAGGTGTGTTTGAATTCCTCTTTGATTTTTTTCATTGACCCCTTGGCTGTTTATTAGCATGTTGTTTAGCCTCCACATGTTTGTGTTTTTTTCCAGTTTCTTTTTTTTTCTTGTAATCTAGTTTCATACTCTTGTGGTTGGAAAAGATACTTGATATGATTTCAGTGTTCTTAAATTTATGGAGACTTATTTTGTGGCCTGACATGTGACCTATCCCGAGGAATACAGTGTTCCATGTTTACCTCAGAAGTGAATTCTGCTGTTTTTAGATGGAATGTTCTGTATATATATGATAAGTCCATCTGGTCTAAGGTGTCATTTAAGACCACTGTTTCCTTATTGATTTTCTGTCTGGATGACCTAGCTACTGATAATAAGTGGGGGGTATTAAAGTCCCCTACTAATATTGTATTACTGTTAATTTCTCCCTTTATGTCTGTTTATATTTGCTTTATATATAGGTGCTTCTATGTTGGGTGCATAGATATTTACTGTTTTTTTTATCCTCTTGTTGGATTGATCCCTTCATCATTATGTAATTCCCTTCTTGTCGCTTGTTACAGTTTTTATTTTAAAGTCTGTTTGTCTGATACAAGTATTGCTACCCAAGCTTTTTTTCATTTCTATTTTCATGGAATATTTTTTCCATCCCTCGACTTCCAGTCTGTATATGTCTTTAGGTCTGAAATGAGCCTCTTGTAGGCTATATATAGATGGGTCTTGATTTGTTTATCCATTCAGTCACCCTGTTATTTGATTGGAACATTTGGTCCGTTCACATTTGAAGTAATTGTTAATAGGTATGTATTTATTGCCATTTTGTTGTTTTCTGGTTGTTTTATAGTTCTCAGTTTTTCTTCTGTTGCTGTCTTCCCTTTGATTTGATTACTTTCATTAGTGTTGTGTTTTTATTCCTTTTTCTTTATATTCTGTGTATCTCTTAGAAGTTTTTAGTTCATCATTACCATGAGGTTCATATATTACACATCATTTATATAGCAGTCTATTTTAAGATGACAGTCACTTAAGTTTGAACACATTCTAAAAGGACTACATTTCTACTCCCCCCCCCACAACATTTTGTATTTTGTGTCATATTGTATATATTTCCTAAGTAAATATTGTAGATACAGTTGATTTTACTACTTTTGATTTTTAACCTTAATATAAGCTTTATAAGTGGCAGGTCCACTACCTTTCCTATGTTTGCTTTTACTAGTAAGACTTTTTTCCTTCATAATTTTCTTCTATTTTTTTACCTTTTCTTTCTGCTCAAAGAAACCCCTTTAACATTTCTTATAAGGCCTGTTTAGTGGTGATGAACTTCTTTAACTTTTGTTAAAACTTTAACTCTTTATCTCTCCCTCAGTTCTGAATGATGGCCTTGCTGGGTAGAGTATTCTTGATTGTAGGTTTTTTCCTTTCAGTACTTTGAATATATCATGCCACTCTCTTCTGGCCTGCAAAGTTTCTGCTGAAAAATCAGTTGGTAGTCTTATGGGGTTTCCTTTGTTCATAACTAGTTGCTATACTCTTGCTGTTTTTAAGATTCTTTCTTCATCTTTAATTTTTGACATTTTAATTATTTGTCTTGGTGTCGACTTCCTTGGGCTCATCTTGTTTGGGACTCTCTTTGCTTCCTGGACCTAGATGTCCGTTTCCTTCCCCAAGTTAGGGAAGTTTTCAGCTATTATTTCTTCAAATAAGTTTTCTGCCCCTTTCCTTTCTGTTTTCTCCTTCTGGGGCTCCTATCATGTGAATATTAGTATGCTTGATGTTGTCCCAGAGGTCCCTGAGACCTTTCTCATTTTTAATTTTTTTTTCATTATTGCTGTTCAGTTTAGATGGTTTCTACTACCCTGAATTTCACATCACTGATCTGGTCTTTTGCATAATCTAATCTGCTATTGATTCCCTCACTGTATTTTTCACTTTAATGTATTCTTCAGCTCTGATGCATTCTTTTTTATATTTTCTATCTCTGTTGAGTTCATCCACTTTTCTCTCAAGTTTGGTGAGCATCTTTATGACCATTACTTTGAACTCTTCATGAGGTAGATTGCTTATTTCCATTTCATTTAGTATTTTTTTAAGGTTTTGTCTTGTTCTTTCATTTGAAACATGTTCCTCTGTCTCTTCCTTTCCCTGCCTCTCTATTTTTGTTTGTATATATTAAGTAGATCAGCTGTGTCTCCTGGTCTTGAACATGTGGCCTTATGTAGCAGGCATCCTGTGGGGCCCAGTAGCACAGTACGCCCTGGTCACTGTAACCAGGAGCTCCAAGGGTTTCCCCTCTGTGGGCTACATGTGCCTTCCTTTGTGGCTGGATCACGACTAATATGGGGGGCAGGGCTAGCCCCCAGTGTGGCTGGCTGTGACTGTTGTGGGCGCACTTGTAGACGGGCCTGCAACCCCTGCTAGGGCAGGTGCCACTTTGGTGGGGTGCCAGTCCCACTATGTGCAACAGGATGCGAGCCACTTTGGAGGGGTGTCTGCCAGGGTGGGTAGGTTGGACTGGACTGGTCCACAGGGAAACACCTGGTCAGGTGAGTAGCCCTAGCAAGGTAGATAGTGTCAGAACTGGTGCCCGCCAGCATCAGGCCAGCTAGACAGGAGGAGGGCAAGAAAAATAGTACCTTTCAGTGCTTCCATTCCTGGAGAAAGTTCCCTGACCCTATTGCACAAGCCCTAAAATTAGTGAATTTCCTTAACTTATCGCCAAGTAGTCTTTAAACTCTTGGCCTCTGTGCTAGTCTCAAACAAGGGAGTTTGTGTGCAGGCCCTTTAAGAGTGGAATCTTGGCTTCCCATAGTCCTCCAGCTCTCCTGGAATTAAGCTTTGCTGATTTTCAAAGCTTCTGGACCTAAGCCCTGCTGATTGTCAAAGCCAGATGTTATGGAGGGTTGTCTTCCTGGTGCAGATCCCCAGGGCAGTGGATGCCTGATGTGGGGCTTGAACCCTTCACTTCTCAGGGAGGATCTCTATACCTATGATATTCCTCCTGCTTATGGGTCACCAACCTGGGGGTGTAGGTTCTGACCAAACCACATCTCTGTTTCTCCTACCCTTCATGATGTGGCTTTTTCTTTATATCTTTAGCTGTGGAAGAGCTATTCTGCTAGTCTTCAGGTTGTTCTCAGAGACTTGCTCTATATGTACTTGCAGTTTTGGTGTATTCATTGCAAGAGGTGAGCTCAGGATCCTGCTACTCTGCCATTTTCAGCAATTCCTGCCTATTTTTAAATGGAGGTATAATTGATATATATAACATTATATTACCTTTAAGTGTACAATGTAGTGATTTAATATATGCATATATTTAAAACATTACAAAAAGTTTAACATCCATAACTGTACATAATTACAATTTTTTTCTTGTGATGAGAACTTGTAAAGTCTACTCCCTTAGCAACTTCCAGATATGCAATACAGTATCTTTATTTTATTGTTTTAAGTAGGCTCCATACCCAGCTTGGAGGCCAACACAGAGCTTGAACTCACAACCCTGAGGTCAAGACCTGAGTTGAGATCAAGAGTCAGACACTTAATTGACTGAGGCACCCAAGTGCCCCTGCAATGTAGTATTATTAATTATAGTCACCATGCTGTAAGTAACATCCCCCAGACTTATTTTATAGCTGGAGATTTGTACCTTTTGACCCCCATCACTTATTTTGTCAACATTGCCAACCCTCGCCTCTGACAACCACCAATTTATTCTCTGTATCCGTGAGCTTGGTTTTTTGTTTAAGATTCCACATATAAGTTAGATCATATGGCGTTTGTCTTTCTCTGTCTGACTTATTTCACTTAGCATAAGGCTCTTAAAATTAATCAATGTTGTTGCAAATGGCAAGATTTCCTTCATTTTTATGGCTGAATAATATTCCTTTGTATATGTATACCACATATTCTTTTTCTGTTCATCTGTCTACAGACACTTAGGTTGCTTCCATAACGTGGTTATTGTAAATAATGCTGCACTGAACATAGGGGTGCATATATCTTTTTGAATTAGTGTTTCCTTTTCTTGGGATAAATACCCAGAAGCAGAATTGATAATATGTTAGTTCCCTTTTTTAATTCTTCGAGGATCCTCCTACTGTTCTTCGGAGTGGCTGCACCAATTTACCTTCCCCCGAACAGTGCAAGAGGGTTTCCTTTTCTCCACATCCTCACCAACAGTTGTTACTTCTTGTCTTTTTGATAACTTTTCTGACAGATGTAAGGTGATATCTCATTATGGTCTTGATTTGCCTTCCCTGATGATTAGTGATATTGAGCATCTTTTCATCCAAGTCTGGGCCATCTGTGGGTCTTCTTTGGAAAAATGTCTATTCATATCCTCTGCCTATTTTTTAACTGGATTGTTTGCTTGAACATACGTTGTGAAATATGAAGGTAAAGTTGGTTGTTATAGCAGTAATAACAGAAAGATAGCTCACTTCTTCACAAATGGTTCCAAAGCGCATGGGCTTCTGTTTATATCAATAGAGTGTTATCAGGATTTGAATACATTTTAACATTTAGTTTCTTAAGAGGTTTAAAAAATTTTTTTTCATTTAAAACCTGATATGTCAGGTTTTTAAAGAAGAATATCTTTTGGTCTTCTGCATCTTTTCCACGGTTTCTCACTCAGGTATTTTTCAGTTAATTTATATTTTTCCTCAGCCATGGGCTGCTGTTGACAGTTGTTTAGGCAGTTTTGGGTAATGAGTTTAGCCCAGTGGTCCTTTTTAATTCTTCATAAATGTTATTACTATAAATATGCAATGTGGGAATATTAAGTGCTTTATAGATTTTTGTAGGAATCATGGATTTCTTTAGAGAATACGAAAATCATGGTTATGTTATTGTTATTGTCTAAATGCTGACAATAAATTATAAGCTCGTAACTCTTTAAAACTTACATTTTTTAAAATTAATTTTTTAACATTCATTTTTTAAGTAACGTATGTGTCCTATAGAGGAAATCTACGAAACCTCAAAATATAATAGAAGGTATAAAAAATGGAGAGTCACATCTTGGAAGAGAAACTGACCATTGTAACAATGGTAGTTTTTCCAAATTTAATTTCTATACTAGTGTTGACTCTGTTGTCAGTGACAAAGGAGTGGAAGTTGAGGATGAGGTAGTCCCCACTGCATGTATCAGCTCTTTCGGAAAATTTAGTTATGTAGGGGAATAGAGAGGGTGACTCTGGAGGGAGCCAAGAGTCAGATACTCTTTGTTGTTTGAGAGAGAAGAAAATCTAGAGCATGTCCAAGTGCTCATGCTTATTGGAACAATATAGGGAACGACTGAGGAGGGGTATTTTGATTCACTGGGCTGGAGGAGGCATGTGGGGTGTGTTGGTAGGATATCCAAGCAAGGTTTCTGAGAAACTCTGGAGGGGTGGAGGGATTGGCTTTGAAAAGGAAAGGGAACTTGAGGGCTTGTATATTTTCTGTTGAAGTCTGAGCCTGTTGAGAATGAGGGGGTGAATGGGAAGTATGTCAAAAGTTTGAGAAGAGGGCGCCTGGGTGGCTCAGTTGGTTAAGCGACTGCCTTCGGCTCAGGTCATGATCCTGGAGTCCCAGGATCGAGTCCCGCATCGGGCTCCCTGCTCGGCGGGGAGTCTGCTTCTCCCTCTCCCCACTCTCATGTGCTCTCTCTCATTCTCTCTCTCTCAAATAAATAAATAAAAAATCTTTAAAAAAAAAAAAAGTTTGAGTAGAAAAGGCTTGAAAATAGGCATTTGAGGCAGTAAATTAGCCATTTCACTAGAAAAACATAGTAAGACTTCTATGTAGTGTTGACCATGAACTTAGAATCCTAGAATTCTGCCTAGTTTTGTGACCACTACCCAGCCCCCTTGCAGCTACTCAGATTTCTTGCTACAAGTGTGGGCGAGTCAAGTGGTCCAGTTCAAAGTTTTGATCTTGAAGTCATCGATCCCTCTTCCTACCTCGGTCTCTTGAAGAATAAACACAAACTCCACCTAACACGGTGCAGCTAAGGCAGTTGACTTTGGACATTCTCGTTCAGTTAAAACACCATGATAGAGGGATGGGTAGCTGAAGGTAGTGCAGCCATGTTTTGGGTGCTTTGGGAAGTTGCATTCAACTTAGTGTGGGACAATTTTCAAAGTTTTCTATTGATTGTAATTATTTTGGTGTCTTTCAAAAAATTGATCTATTTGAAAATGCTTATCTTATTTGGTGATAGAAAAACGAAACAGCCATTTTTTCCCTTAGAATGGAAAAAAAGAGATGTGATACTTAAAGTTCATAGCTGGTAAAATAAAAGGATATAAATCTTAGATAGACAAAAAGTAGGAAGTTGCACTCTCAATGTTTTATATTCAAAACCCCTATTTGGAAGCACAATGCAATTACGCGAGCCTGTATTTCTTACTGATACCTCTTCTTCTTTCGTTTTAGGAAATAGTCTAGTAAGTTTAACCTTTCATTTATTTAGTCTTCATGGATTAATTGAGTACTTCCATTTAGATATGATGAAACTTCGTAGATTTTTAGGTAAGTGATTTCAACCCATTTAACAGTAATAAGATTTAAACTGTTTAAATTTTCATCAGTTGTATCAGTTAGCTATCGCTCTAAAACAAACTACTCCAAATTTAGTGGCTTGAAATGACACGCATTTATTGAGCTGCTGAGTCTCTGGGGCTGTTGAATGCTGCTTGTGGTCCGGCTGAGCTCATTTATGTGCCTGCAGTTGACAGCAGGTGGGCTGCTCCATGGGCCTTGCCTGGGACCTCAGCTGGGACACTCAGCTTCGTGTGGCTCAGCTCTCCATGGTCTCCCATTAAATTAAAAGGAGGCAGAGGAGTTTGGCACCTTAATAAATTCACATTAAAAAACAAAAAAGGAGGAAATACTTATTGTACAACAAGCTGAGCTTGTTCAAGGAGTGGTGGCCAGTCTCCAGGAGAGAGCTGGTGACCCCAGACCCCCGGAACCCGGTGTCGGCACTGCTCTCCTTCACGCCACAACATCCTGTTGGCTAAAGCACATCAGGTGGGGATGAGCACACCTCTCGGCCAGGAAGCTTTGAAGGTTCAAACCATGGCTGGAGAGCAAGGTGAAGAAATGGGACACTTCTGCAGTCAGTCTCTTAGTTGACTACAGCTTTGTTATAAAGATGACACCGTTTCTGTCCTTTTTAAAAAGTTTGAAAGCTCAAACTTGAAAAAATCAGTTACATTGTGCTTAGGTGTTCTCTTTTTCTGATCCCAGAAATCTCTTTACAGTACACTTTAAAGATTATTTTTAATATGTTTAAACATGCATGGTGATATTTGCTTAGGACTGCTCTGCTAGGAAAAAAGTTGAAGTTTTTCACCAAATAAATACATTAAAAGAAAAGAAGCATGAGGATTATTTCTTACTTTTTTAAAGAAGAAGATATTTTCTTTCCTTTTAAATACCAAACGAAGATAAATTTATTACCTAGGCCCTTGAGAAACTTTTCATGTATATTTATTTATAATTTATGTCTGTAATACTATAGTTATATATTATATAAATTATAAAACACATACAAGAATAGATACTAACAAGAGTAATGAAAAAGTTGTTTGAAAGGTTGGATTAAAGTAAATACAGATTTGCAGTGCTCCTTCCTTCTCACCGGTAAGTCGTAGTTTAGCACTGTGGAATTGGTTCACATTACTTAGTGACCAGTAGATTAGAGTGTTACCTACTAGGGCCACGGCGGGCCTGATGGCAGTGGGGTTAGCTCTACCCTAATCCTAGTCTACTTTTTCATGAGAGCATAACAGACACTGAGCAGAGCGTAGGATTAGCAGAAGGTCCAGCCTTACTACTGAAAAACTAATGCCAGATCTGAAACTTACCTCATGGATCATGTTCATATACCACCAAATGACTGTCCTATTTTACCTTCATATAGATTTTTGTTCACTGATAAGTGTCTAGAATCTAAAACAGTACTTGGTCCAATAAGTATGTATTCAATGAATTGTAGTGTTTTTTAGTTAAACTGAGAAACTTTTAAAATTACATTTAAAAGAGGGGAGTTTGGCACAATGATAGATTCACATTTTGAAAGAGAAAAATATTTATTGTTTTGACATGACTACCTTTTGAAAATTTCAAACAAGTCTGCAGTCAAATGGTATTGATTCTTTGGTAAACATGTGACTTATGAGGTGATTATCATCTCTTAATCTGAACAGTTAGCTGATAGCCACATGAAAATTTTAAGTGGAAAACTCATAATCACCATAATTTTTGTACTTGTACATGCTTCTCACCTACAATGAAATCTGGGATCTTTTTTCTTTGCAGTTATGATTCAAGAAGATTACCACAGTCAAAACCCTTACCACAATGCAGTCCATGCTGCAGATGTTACTCAGGCCATGCACTGTTACTTAAAAGAACCTAAGGTAAGGTGCTGGGTAAAAATCCTAAGAAAATTCCTTTTCCTTAAATTAGTGATTTGACTCAAAATGAGAGGCTTCCTTCACAAGAATGAGATCTGGCTGGATCAAGTTTCCCATCGTGGTTATATTTGTAAGTGCAGCAGCTGGAGAACTGGGTGATTGTTGAAAGTGAGGCTGGAGAAGTCCAGGCAAGGTCCAGATCCTAGGCACCCCCTCCCCCCCAGGGCTATGTTAAGACACTGGCATTTATACCAAGCTTCTTGTGAGCTCCATGAGGGTGGATAGCATTAGTCCAGTTCAGTGAATGAATGGGGAGCTACAGAAGAGAAACAGGAGACTTTAGAAAACTATCCTGTGGTGTAAAAATGAATCTGACAAGACCAGGAAAATGGACGCCTGTCAGGAGCTGTTTGATTTCGATGCACTACGAAAGAGCCTGGTGGCCCAAGCTAGGACAAGTAGGCTTGGGAAAGGAGAGAGGTGGGTGGTCTGTAAGGTCTCTTGGGAGTTAGAATGCCCAGGTTATGGTGTCTGCATGCATGTGGGGGAGGGAAATAGGGAGAAGAGTCAATGAAGACTGCATGGGGCAGCAGAGTAGAAGGTGGAATTCTGTGAGAGAAAGAACGTAGAAAAGGGAGCAAGTTTTGGGGGTAAGGCTGGTAGAAATGAGGAGTTCCATTTTGGATATGTGAAATTAAACGTATTTGGGTGATATCCAAATGGAGATGTTGACTAGAGTTGGATCAAAGACGCTGGAGCATAGGAGAGAATCTGTTGGAGATACAGATGCGGGAATCATTAACTGGAGATGGTAACAGAAAGCCACGTTTGCCCGTGGACATTTCCTACCCGAGCGTTCTGAAATTACATTGGCTTACTCTTAGCTCAGCTTCTAAACTCTTCTCCCCTGGGATCTGAATTCTGGCTAGACGTTAGAAGGGAAAGCAGCCTGACTAAACCAGTTTGTGCTAGTTGATGCCAACTTTGAGAATATAGCCATGTGGTTGCTTGTCTTCTGATTTTTCAAGAGATTGTGGAATATGTGAAAATACCCCAATTTTTAAAGTATATATGTCATGACTTTTTTTTAAAGATTTATTTATTTTAGTGTGAATGCGCATGCATGGGGGGGAGGGGCGGAGGGAGAGGGAGAGAATATCCCAAGTAGACTCCCCGCTTAGCGTGGAGCCTGACACAGGCGTCTATTCCACAACCCTGAGGTCATGACCTGAGCTGAAATCAAGAGTTGGGCACTTAACTGATTGAGCTACCCAGGTGCCCCACATCACTTTTTTAAAAAAGCAACTTTATTGTGGTGTCACTTATATGCAATAATAAAATGTATACATTTCATGGGTACAGTTTTTTTTTTTAATTTTAAGATTTATTTATTTGTCAGAGAGAGCGAGAGCACAAGCAGGGGAAGTGGCAGGCAGAGGGAGAAACAGGCTCCCTGCAGAGCAAGGAGCCGGATTCGGGACTCGATCCCAGGACCCTGGGGTTATGACCTGAGCCGAAGGCAGATGCTTAACCAGCTGAACCACCCAGGCGTCCCTTTTTTAAAATTTTTTTTAAGATTTTATTTATTGATTTGTCAGAGATCATGGGTACAGTTTTTTTTTTTTTTTAAAGATTTTATTTAT